TGGTGCTGGGATATTTTGTCCAACAGCTCCGGGATAGAACCCGGAGTGTTCTCCACAATGGCAATTTTTGATTTTAGTTCTTCGTCTTCTGCTTCTTTCGCATAGCTCTTGAAGAGGGCGAAGCCTTCCCAGCTTTGGATGAAGGGATCCTCTATCTCGAGTTTCTCTAAGAAGATCAAGGCGGGTTGTTAAGTGAGTCACGTCCGACTTTACAACCTTTTTTTCCTATGGTCAGCTGGGGGAGATCTCCCATGGCGATCACGTGACCCCCCCGTGACACTGCAACCAGCCTAAGTGCCTGCCAGTTGCCAAGCGTCTGGATTTTGATCACGCGACCACGGGGAGGCTGCGACGGCCGTTAAGGGTGAGGAGCGGTCGTAAGTCACTGTTCTCAGTGCTGTCGTAATTTCGAACGGTCACTAAACAAACGGTTGAGGCCGCCCAAAGACTGATCCGAAAACAGGGACTTACGACCCAGGTTTGAAGTTGTGACACTCCAGCCTCCTTTGTTGTTGTGTTGTCACGGGGCAATGGGGTAGCCTTTATGGCTGTCCCCAGTTTCCTACGGTCACATCACCGGGTTTCACAAGGCTTTTCTGAAAAGCAGCGCTTACTTCCGTCTTTTGTCAAACTCTCACCCACAGCGAACCCTTGATTCACTTCACCAGAGATCTCGCTCAATGACCCCTGCGCAAAAAGGGTCGTAAAAGCGGGTTGGCCGCATAACTGACCCATTTTATGACTTCACAACATATGGCCACATTGGGCAGGCTCCGTGAAGCGCTGCCTGTACACACAGCTTGGACATCTACACAAACACCGGCGGAGAGAACTCACGTTCGTGAAGAAGCGCCCAGATATCACGAATCTTGCCAAGGCCAAAAGCTTCGAGTCCCTGATTAAAAGAGGACAACAAGAACAACATCAAGTAGAGCCCTCTGAGATGGGACACGTAGTCCGACGCATAGTCATAATTATCTGTCCGCCCTCTGGGGCTCCTTAATGCCCTCCAAACATTAAGATGCATCTGTAGAATCCACTGGTTTTGCCACACATTCCTCAACATAGCAGCCGTCCAATATTTGAGGGGCTGCCACAAAGAACGTATCCTCCAAAGCATCGGGACGCAGGAGAAGAAGCAACGGAGGGAAACTCATCAAGGACAGAAGCAACCTAGAACTACGGAGAAATTTCCCTAACAGTGAGAACAATTAACCAGGGGAACAGCTTGCCTCCTGAAGTTGTGGGTGCTCTAAAACTGGAGGATTTTAAGAAGAGACTGGTACAGCCCCTTGTGTGAAATGGTAGAGGGTGTCCTGCCTGAGCAGAGGGTTGGACTAGAAGACCTCCAAGGTCCCTTCCAACTCTGTCATTCTGTACGCTATAAACAACCCTGAGATGCTGAAGCACAACAGGGACACTGCAGATATCTCAAGAATATTAACTTTGGAGGTGTCATGAATCAAACAGTTCAGTCTTTTAGGGAACATTAACATCTTCAACACTGGAGTAAAAATTGCCAACAAAAAGTCCAACCATCTCTTGAAGCTATGGATTTTTAGTTTTTAGAGGGAGGGAGGGAGGAGAGAGATAGAGAGGAGGGAGGGAAAGAGGAAGGGAGGGAGGGAGGAAGGAAGAGCTGAAGGAGATGGGGAGGGAGGGAGGAAGAAAGAAGGGAAGAGAAGAAGGAAAAGAGGGAGGGAGGGAGGGAGGAGAGAGATAGAGAGAAGGAAGGAAAAGAGGGAGGGAGGGGGGAAGGGCTGAAGGAGATTGGGAGGGAGGAAGAAAGAAGGGAAGAAGAGAAGAAGAGAAGAAGGAAGAGAGGGAGGGAGGAAGGGCTGAAGGAGATGGGGAGGGAGGAAGGAAGAAAGAAGGGAAGACGAGAAGGAAGGAAAAGAGGAGAGAAGGAAAAGAGGGAGGGAGGGAGGAACTCCTACTGCATCCTTCCTGCGCCTTCTCACACTCACCCCGAGCAAGTGTATCTTAGCAGGTGTGTCTCCACAGGTAAGGTTCACAGCATCCTCAAAGACAGTTTTGTTGGTCCGGGATAAGTGGGCCACCTTCCCCTCCACGCCGACCCCACTGACGTCACCTGTCGAAAAGAGAGCACCGCCTCAGTCCCGCCTAGCCAGACTCACCTGGAGCAACAAAAGGACGACGGGCTTCAAAGACTCACTTTCCTGCTTGTTCCCCACCAGCATTTTCTTCCGGACTCCCTGGGAGACGTCCAAAATGGTCGCGCCAACGTAAGCGATTTCGAAGCCAAAGCGAAAACTCTGCGGAAGCAAGAGGGGGAAGGAAAATGCAGCATCACTTGTTTTGCAGGGGTCTTCAGTGAATGCCACACTGATCAAGCAAACCAAGACTGGAAGTGCTGTTTTTTGGCAAAACCATTGTAACACTAGCACACACGATATAGGTAGGTAGGTAGATTAGATAGATTAGACAGACAGACAGACAGAAAGGCAGGCAGGGCATAGATGATAGACAGACAGATGATAGGTAGGTAGGTAGGTAGGTAGGTAGGTAGGTAGGTAGGTAGGTAGGTAGGTAGGTAGGTAGGTAGGTTAGATAGATAGATGGATGGACGGACGGACGGACGGACGGACGGACGGACGGACAGACAGACAGACAGACAGACAGAAAGGCAGGCAGACAGAATAAAGTGTGTATCTTCTCCAATTGGAATTGCGAGATAGGTTTCAATTGGAACTGGAGAAGACCCACAATGCTTCGAACTGAACCTTCTGGATCTTGAATCTACAGCAGTGGTTCTCAACCTTTTTAATGCCGCGACCCCAACAGGTCGTAAGTTGAGGACTAAACCGGTCGTAAATCAAGGACTACCCAACCGATCGTAAGTCGAGGACTACCCAACCGGTCGTAAGTCAAGGACTTTCCCTGCCCGGGCGCGCCGCGCATGCGTGGTTCCGCCCCCTGCGCCGGCCGAGGCGTAGCTGGCAAGTGGCAGAGACGGAGCAGGCCGACCACCAGCTGGCCCAGCCCAAGGGAGGTAAGGCACCCGCCGGAAAAGGGAAAAAAATGGCGGACAAAAAAAATGGCGGACAAAAAAAATGGCGGACAGCCTTGCTTGGCGACCCCCATGAAATGGTCGATCGACCCCAAATGGGGTCCCGACCCACAGGTTAAGAACCACTGATCTACAGGTAAATCACAACTCCAAGTCAAACATCCCAGCTAGCCTGCCATCCTGCCTCGACTTACCTGTGTCAGGTAAAAGATGTGGTCGTGAGGCATGTTAAAAACTGC